TCCCAGACTCCCCAAAAGAAAACCACACAATTTATATCTGCCATTAACCAGCTCCCCCAACCACCCCATGCACTAATCAGAGGTCTTCCCATAGTTGCTGCTCAGGGGTTTGGGTTAAAAAAAAAAAATAGAGAGAGATTGGGGAGAAACGGACTATATTTCCAGCTTCACCCTGTTTCCTTTAATATGGCCAGTTTGTAATTATATATTTACTTATCTTTCTCTGTATTGACTGCTCTCCCTTCCCTCAAGCTATAAGCCTCATAAAGGCTGGAAAACGTGTCTGCTTTGTTGACCAAGGTATGCCTGATGCTGGCCAGAGTAAACATGTTTAATGAATCTCTGTGGAATATAGGAGTGAATGTAGAGGAGAAGGAGCTTATTCAGGGTGGATTTTCATTTACCCTAAAGAAGTGAAATGAAAGCAAACTTTGGTGGTTTTGTTTAACTGTGGGCAAATTGGTATGGACTGAGAAATTCAATTAACTGTATTCATCAATTTTTGTTTCTGGGCTAGAATCATGAGACTAAGACCCGGAATTCTTGGTCCGACCTCTTTTGTGGCATTAAAAAACAAAAAACAAAAACAAAAAACCAAGCCCAAACCTTGGCATATTACACCACCCAGATTTTTTTCTTTGTCTCAAAGAAGGCTCAGCTGAACAGTAGATTCCTCACCCAGCACAACAATCACAAACTCCGAAAACCTCAGCTGCCCCAGATGATGTCACAAAACCCTTAAGAATGCTCACTGCTGAGTTGGGCACAGGTCCAGCAAACACAATTCTTCCTGCCAGTTATTCAGGGTCTTTGACAGATTAGGTGGTCTTTTTTCTTCTTCTGCTTCTTCTTCTTTTTTTTTTTTTCCAACCTCTTAAAAGGCAGTTCAGTTTACCTCTAAGCAAGACATTAGCTCTGGCTGCCCCAAATAACATTTTAATTGAAGTCTCAGTTCAAACAAATGCCCAGCCTCTTTATTAACCCCAACAGTGTAATTTTTCAACCTAAGACTGATTCAGGGGGAAACTGTCTCACTTAAACTGCTACGCAATGGGACATGGCAGTTTTCCTCAACCAGTCTCTTTTCTGACCTTGATTTGAACCTTAATCTCTTCTAACGATGTTTTCTTTATTAGCTGCTCACAGCCGTGGCACAAGACTAATTTTCCTGTTTTTAGACTATCAGTTTACAGAGGTATTTCACTTCCCCTTTTGCCCCCAAAAGTCACCAAGATTTCATGGACCTCTTTGGGAAAAGGAAGGGAATACCTATGTTTCACATTTGTTGTTGTTTAAATTTAGTAATTTAAATAGCTGCTTTGCAAAATGTTCTATAGATTTTAGATTGTATTTTTGAGGTACATTGACGTTTAGGTACAAAGAAATCATACTCTGAATTGTCAGAAAAACCTAAAACAAAATCTTTCATCAATAGCCTGGTCCACACTCATAAAATGAAAACTAAGGCTATTATCTGAATAATTCAGGCAAAAACAATATGTTTTTATTAGAGACCTCTAATCTTTTGGGGGAGATCTGAATTATCCAGATAATCGCTGCAATTCCTTCCTTCATTTTAAATGCTTAAACATAATCAATGAGTAATGACAGAGAAAATCATTTTTCTTCATTACGCCTTCCCATTTTTTGACATTGGTAAAATGATCCAAATTAAAAAGAAAAAAGCACACCCTTTTCAATAACAATGAAAAAAAATGTGTTTCTCTCTTCGGAGTATACCTTAATATAGCAGAACTATGTAGGTAGAAAAACAGTGCTTGTGATCATGTGCTCAATTAGATTTATTGTAGGTTTTTGTACTTTTTGGCATTAGCGTGAAAGCATATTGGTTATTATTTTTTATAATCTAATTGGAGGCTTTGTATCTAGTTACCCCTCTGTTCTCAGCTTAATACAATAGTTTGTTGATTGCAAAAATTACATTTCTGTGACTTTAAAGTCCTAGAACTAGGGTTGCCATTGAAAGTTGGGGATTTAGCCTGGTGTTTGGAGGGCAGCGACCATGTGCCCTCTGGGTGTGAGGAGGTAGGCAGCTGGGAACAGTTGTCTGTCCCCTGCGGTGTTCAGTGGTACTCGCAGCATGTTGGCATGATAAACTTTGCCTCCATTTCACTGGTTCAAACAATTAGTGGGATTGAATCAGAGTTCTCCTAGATCATAGTTTATTATATGTTATTAAATTCCATTATTCAAGAAGTTGCTCCTATGATGATAAAACTTCCCAACATATCCTGCAAAGCTCTCATCTCCATTCCTGGTGCATTTCCTTTCATATTGATCTTTTGCTTCTCTGATGGGCAAGTTTTGTTCTGTGTTTTATTTTTTTTTTTTATTCCTTCCCCTTGGTACTTATTTAAAGAGCTAAGAGCTAATTTGAAAATACATCTACGAAAGGACAACAAAAATGAGATGTGAAAAAAACTGGATGAAGATTCTTAATTAGTCCATTATTTGACACGCACGATTTAACATGGTATGCTTAGCATTGTGCATTCCCCAAAAGAACAAGGCTCTTTTTTTTTATCCCAAACTTTAGCTCCCTCTCATTCATTATATCCCTTCTTGTCACTTTCCATTAGCTGATCATGACATCCTTTGCTGGAAGGGCGAGCAAGCAGATTACTTCCAAACTGGTGTAAGTGACACTCAAAAGACTGGCCTAAAGGGAGTTCTGTGGCAGCAACAAGCTCCTCAGCCCCTGGAGCTGGAGAATGTCATTTCAATAATATATTGGAGTCCGTTGTCACATCATTTCTGTAGCAACTTGGCAACTTCCCAGAAGTGGCAGGAATAGGTCTTCTACCGTGATGGAATCTGATGTTATCACTGTCGCTGACAATAGTAAAAATACAATAGTATAGTATCATAGCATAATTAATAATAATAATTATCATTATTAATAGTATGTACTACTAGGAATATATAGTAATATTATTAATAGTATACTATAATAATAAATAATAATAATTATTTTTCTTATGTACTGAGCCAATCTAATCCTTCTAACTAGCATCTTCATTTTACAGATGAGGAAACTGAGGACTGAAGTGATTAAATAAATTGTCCATGGTCACACAGCTGATAAATAGCCGAGCTAGGGTTTTCACTGAGGTCTGGCAGACTCCCAGCTACGCCTCTTTCCGTTAAAGCAGGTTATGCATAACACACCAACTTTTAGGAAACTTCACGGTGTCTCCCTAATTTTGTTGCAACTGAAAACTAACCTGTCACCAGGCCCTTCTGAGTGGGGGTGGGGATGACCGAATGAAGCAGCCAGGGATCAAACACACATGATCAGATGGTGCTAAGCAAAGAAGTGCAGGATCTGATGCTCTGATCAGCTCAGCCCTGGCGAGGCGAACTGCTCCCAGCTCATCATCCCTGCCACCCCCCCCCCCCCCCCCCCCCCCCCCCCCCCCCCCCCACCGACCAACCTTCGGAATCATCCTCAGCCTTGGAACGGCATTGGTCTGGGAAGAGCTGAATGGTTGCCGATAAGAGGTGTGTCCCAGTCACAGACAGCAATGAAATCTGATCTGAACAGCACTGGGACCAGTCCTGGCTGCCACTCAGACCCTCATGCCAGCTTCCGGCCTCAAAGGCTCCTCTGTTCCCGAGAACACAAGTTTTCTTCATTAACCAAATTTTAGATGCTTTCCCTCACATGAAGCACGTTTTAGCTTCTCTTCCCAGGAATCTTTGAAATATTTTGATCTTAAAGTAAAGAATAGGGAAATACAAAGCAATACATTAAGTAAAAGTTGCCTGTTATTTGACTACCAGGAGAAAATTCATAGTCCCATGATATGTATCTTTTTTGTTCAGGCTGTACATATAGGCTAGGCTTTATGTAAAACATGGTGGTTATAGGATGGACTCTGAAATTGGACCACCCAGCTTTAAACGTAGACACTGCCACCAGCAGTGTGACCTAACCTCTCTGGATCCCAGTTTTCTCATATGTAAAGTACTTCCCTCCGAGAGCTATTGTGACAGTGATCTCATGCGCGTGAAGTAGCTGGCCCGTGGCAATCACCTCCTGCATCTTGTTACTGGTACATAGGCGCTGGTCCGTGATCTTGTCTTACTCGCTGTTTCTGACCATGCTCCAGCCTCCTTGAATCCAAACCCATATTTAACTTCATCTTCAGCCATAATTCCGTCCCTTCTCTGTCCATGTGGTATGATCAGCTTCCCCCTTGCACCTCACCGGTGATTTTCCAGGTCTCAGCTCCTGCCCGTTTAGCCATAACTCTTACGTAGGCGCCGCCAGCATCTTCTATCCACGCCTGTGTGATGGACACATTCCTGCCTGGATGCGCTGCTCGCCCGCCCTGCCTGAAACCAAGGCAAAGCCTGAGCGCAGCCCTCCTTGTTCTCAGCTGGCTGAAAGGCCTTGGAGGGAGTGCAGGTGGAGGCAGTAGCCTGAGTTTGTGATCGTAAGGACAGCAGCAGCATCAGCCCACAGTTTTGGGGCTTCTGGAATGTCAACGAAAAACTAGCTTCCAGATATATAGATGTATGCAATACCAAAGCAAATGTATTTGTTTAAATCACTTTACATGTAAAAAATGAAGGTAATTATGAATGATTTTTTTTTTTAATCTTCTCTTTGAAAGCCCTGTGTTGTCAAGGCCACACTCCCAATGATCTCTGTACCTCTGAGAAGGGAGAAAATATGTACGTATGTATGTATATGTTAACTGGGGGGAGTGTGTGTGCTGGGAGAGCAGCCGGCCAGTGGCAGGAATGGGGAAGAGAGAATTATATTAATTGAAACTGGGAATTCACATGGACCTTTCAGACATTAAAAAAAAAATGTTGATTTTACATGCCAAAGTCTTGAAAGGAGCTTGACGGCTCACGGCTTTGGTGTATTTTTCCAGATGGCAGATGCCATTTTGTGTTTTGCATAAACTGACTAAATTTGCTTGCTCTTTGTACTTATTTCAGAGGCAACCATTCTTTGCTTTCAATAGGACAGAAGAGCTCCTTGGCACTGGAACCCTCCTGGTCTGGTGAGGGAGGGATGAGGGATGCTCTGAGGACACACAGCCATCATCCAAAACTTCCTACATTCGGATGGAGGAAAGAGGTTGCACCAGAGCTTCGGATCCACGTTGCCTAAAGGATGATTCAAACTGTGTGAACAAGTCACAGAAGGTGAGCTATGCTGAAGAACTTTCCAAAGCTATCTTTCCAGTTTGCCCATTCTTATCTCCATGGTGGACAAATAGGTTTGTGACGCTCTTATTTCAAGTCCTCTACATCTTGCTAATTGCTGGTTGTGTGATCCTGAAACTTAATTCCTCTGTACTTCGGTTTCAGCAAAAAAAAAAAAAAAAAAGAAGAAGAATAGTAATAAAATAAAATTAGGATGATAGGAATAAGTAATACTCCTCTCTTAGGATTGTTGTGAAGATTCCATGAGTTAGTTAATCCATGTAAAGGATTTAGAACAGTGCTTGGCATCCAGCAAGTGTTCAAGAAATGTTGGTAGTTATTATTGTTATGATTCATTTCTGTGGAAATTTGCATTTGTTCCCCTTATTTTCTGAGGATCGACCTGCTCTCCTCCCAATGTCATTATGCCAACCCTTTGGGTTCTTTATATGGAAATAGACTGGTAATAGAGTGGTTCAGCTGTCGGCTTTGCAGTCAAACAGAATCAAGTTGAAGTTCCTGAAGAAACAATCAATAGCTATAGCTCCTCAAGAGCGACTTCATTTCTCCAACCCTCAGTTTCTTCATCTATAAAATAGGGATGATAATAATCATACCTGCTCTGTAACATTTTTGAGAAGATTAAATGTCAGAGTGCTTGCACAATATCTGGCAAGGATGTAAAGCATGTTGGCATTGTTATTATTTTTGCTGCCCCAAATATAGCGCTCTTATACTCAAAAGTGCCTCGAGGAGCTTGTCAGGGCTCTAGGGCTTTAGCTCCATGTCAGCTTCCTCACGAGAAAAGCGAGCACACACAGAAATAGAAAGATGCTGTGAGGCCATGGCTTTACAGGGACTCTTTGCCAAATAATGACACAGAATTGAGAGAGTCAGGTCTTGCTCAACATGGATTCCAATTAAAGTTAGAAAACTCAAATTTCTCAGCAGGCCAATCCCCACTCATTACATTGGAGATGATTCCAAAGCACAGGACTATTGAGATAAGGAACTTCGGCCTTAGTTTTCTGTCCTAAGCTCCCCCCCCGCCAAAGTCAAGTGTAGGGTCAGGTAGGCTGTGAGGGAGCACGAGTGACCAGGGCTGGTCGCCTCTCATGGAGGAATCTGGCATTTGTACATCATAAATATTTAAATTTCACATTTTAAAAAATGCTTATTTTTTTCTTCTAACCAAAAATGGATAAAAGTTGCATCCGTGAGTGAAAGAAACCCATCTCTAATCATGTTATCGAACAGCTGAAAACCGGGTGGATCACATTCATCGTTTTCATCCAGCAATGAAGAGTAGTCTCTATCAATAACTGAATAAAGAGAAAAAAAATGAGCACCTGAAATTTTCGCCCCAAAGCTAGCATGGACCCTGAAAAAAAAAAAACCCTAAGCAACATAGAACAAGGAAGTAGGAAAAGCATCACCAACCTTGCAGATAATTTTGTTTGCTCTGTTAGATCTTTCTGACCGCCCCTTTCTGCTGCCCTGCCACTTCCCACAGTGGGAATAAGTTGGAACTTGAGTCGGGAGAAGAGGCCCAGCGATGACTTCCTTTTCTCAATTCGGACCAGATGACAGTCCCATCTCTTTCTCCTGACCTCATGCTTAGAAATTTCTCAGAGAGTAGAATGCTACAGATTCATTATCTTTAACAGTAAAGTAAAAGGGGAAAGGAAGAGCAAACAAAAGACAAGAGAGAAAGTACTTGTCAAAAGGGAAACGGAGGAGGAGTTGGAGAGAGCCCAGAGCTGTATTATGAAGGTGGGGAAAGAGAAGATACAACAGCAAAAAAGGAAAGGAACTTGACAGTGCGCTGCCAGAGGTGGCTAGCTGGCTAGTGAAGATGCATCCTCCCCTTCTGCCTTATGGAGGTGTTTCTGGAATGCAAATGCTCAGCAGGAGATGACATTTCCCAGTCTCTCTTGCTGTGATATGGGACCATGGGACTGGTTCCTATCAGCGGAATATGAGCTGAAGTTAAGAGATGTGTGTCACTTTGGGACTCAGTTAAGACTGCAGGTAGCTTCTCTGTTCTCTCTCTGTCTGCCCATCTTCTGGCTAGATAATGCCTTGATGTCAATCCATATAGAAGACGTAGAGCCATTACATGGAAAGAATGTGGATTCCTGAATCACTGTTTGGAGAAGAGCAGCCCAGATCAGCTGCCCAATCAGGAATATCCACATTAGGTTTTTTGTGAGTGAGAAATAAATGTTCATATGTTTAGCTCCTGAGCTTTTGGGGATTGTTTGTTTTACCAGCAAACATTACTTACCTTGACTAATCTAGAAATTGATACCAGAAGGGAGCTCTAGAAGCAGTTACTTTTTTTTTTTTACCTATGCTAAAAAGAAAAAAAAAAGAAAACACAAAAAAACAGTTCATTATTTCCTGATATCCTCTTATTCTTCTATTATGTTGTCCAAAGCAGCCAATAACAACCAACACATGCTATTTTTCACCTACAAGCTCAAGAGTCATGTGGTCTGACTTTCAAGTTACTAAAAGCAGCAGTTTTGCCAAGTATTTTTCCACTGCATGATATGGATCTCCAGCCATGCAGACTAACATATCTGCTTCTAACAACTTGACCACAGAGTCAATGGCACACATTTTAGGGTTTTGTTATGGGACACCGTATCTGGTACAAACTATTACAAGCCAGTTTAGTCAGAAAAATAGAAGCCTCTTGTGGCAAATGCAATGGAATATGTTCACCAAATGATTTCTCTTCCCTGGGCCCTTGGGAAGATCATAATGTCCTCTCCCTTGCAATTTAATTGAGGCCATAGGACCAATTCTTTGTAACAGAGTATAAACAAAAGCACTGTGCTACCTTCATCCAGGGAGTTAAGAGTGCTTGTATGTTTTCTGTTTCTTTCTCATCCACTTCCACTGGGCTCTTGAAGGGTGTGTGTTCCAGATGGTATAACTAACAAGATAGAAACCACTCCCCTTATAACCTGACCAACAAATGACCTGTGTTTGGTTATACTATCCAGGGTTTGGGGGTGTTTATTACTGAAACATACCCATCACATTCTGACTGTACTCAAAGTATTTCATCAGGGAGGAATTCAGTGTAAGGAGGTAGAGGAATACAAAACCAGAATCACTGGGAACCAGGAATGAAGGTCAAGGATGTTGTCGCTAACTTTCAGGAGATCTGAAGTGAAAGCATCAGCAGGACATCAGGTTGCCACCGATGATCTCAGCTGCCTGCAGCACCGATGGGGGTGAGGCCTAGGAGCGTGACTGGTAGCCCCATGTCTGCTTTCTGCCAATGCCCACACACCTGCTTGTAGCTACTGATAGAGAAAAATGGCTTTTTTCCATTCACCTTCTAATGATTGCAAGAGCATCTCTCAGTGGCAAGTAGGACCAAGAACCCTACTGACAAAGGAGCCTGGGAATGTAGTTGTCAGGCTTGCAGCCCTTATGGGACAGAGAGGAGCTTAGAAGGACAAAGATGGTGCTTATTGAGTTTCAACAAAAAAATGTCAGGTACAAATGCTCCTTGTCCTTCCCAGAGGAAATCCAAGTGGTCATCCTTCCATACCCCAGTTTCTCTTGATTCTTGAGGGCAGATCTTAATCAATTCTTTATTCCCCAATGCCAGACTATACCAGACAAAAAAACTGTTGTGAATTGATTTGGATGGAATGACAACGGAATCAATATAGCAAATAAGAAAGTTGTCTCCATGTATTTAAGTTAGATTTCAAGGGTCCTGTTCATGGAATCTGATGATTCTCTCTAATGGCTGCCCTAGTTTCTTCCCCAGCTTAAGCAATTTTCCTTCCTAGTCTGCTCAGAGTGACCACGTGTAGAGCTGTTTGCTCAAAAAGTGACCTTAAGCTTGAGCTCTGGATTGTCCACACAGCCAAAAAGAGGAGAATTTGATAATGATCTGGGTTATTGAATCCATAGAGACTGCCAATAATGCATATCTTAATGCAGTTTAAAACAAATGTGTGTGTGTGTGTGTGTGTGTGTGTGTGTGTGTACACATTATCAAGTTGGTTGGGTAGAGTTAGTCAAAGTATTTCTATATTTTATTCATTTGGCTCTGAACATGGCTTTTGTGCTTTGGCAGAGCTGGAATATCTTTGGGAATGTGGGGTTTATGAGTTCACATTAGGGCAGGGTGGGGAGTATTGTGTAAGTGATGAGGGGCGGGTAGACTTGGGTGTTAGAAAGGACCTGTTCAGCCATAAGAAAAGGATAGTCAGGAAAGGGAGGGCCAGACCCTGGTGTGGTCTCATCTGGAAAGGCACAAAGTTAAAACCCTGTGGAAGATTAAAGACATCCTCTTGATATTTATTTTCCTCATCAAAAAAGGGTAAGACTATTGTGCCTATGGTAAAAATAATAGTAGAATGACTCAGACTTATTTACAACCATCAAAGAAATGAAAGATATGGATCATGTCACTAATTAATCTTTTTATCATTATAAAGTGGTGACCGTATCCAGCTGAAGTATTGTGTGCATAATAACACAATTATGGGGGATGTGATGATGTATCAGCTGCTAGTGCCCAGTATTTAGCCTCTCTTTTCCATTCCCACCCACCCTGATCTCTGGCTATATTTAGTTGTTTTACACAGTGTACCTGGACCAAAGTCTATTTTACAAAATTAAAAGAATAGAGAGAAGAATTAGCGTCTTCACAGAAAAACCAGGCTCCACAAAATCTATTTCCCTTGGTTACCCATGTTCCTTCTTGGTAAATATATTTTCTCCTACTTTGCACCTAGAATCATGGATGGAACACAATCATGAGTTTATTTTGTGTAAAGGGAAGTAGAGCATTGAGCAATCATCTAATGAATGCAGTCAAGATGGTTAGTGAATCTGGAAAA